TCGAAAATATGAAGTCATTAAAAAAACGTCTCCTTCAACTCTTCCCGCACGCCTACGAAGGTTCGTGCTGTAAACCAGGCATAACTAGTCAGATAAAATCAACTCGGCTTCAATGATTACTACCCAGAGTTCCTTTCGGTCCAGTCGCGTAGGCTTGAGTTGGTCGACGACAACGTTTTTTGAATTGACTGTATACTCTTGCTAAAGGGAGGAAACTACAGTCGCCATATTTGAACAAACAACACACTCTAAACCACGACTTCATCGTCTTTTAAACCTCGAACTCCACAAAAAACTTGGTCAAAATGGTCCCTACGATGGGGGATTCATTTTTTTTAAACTCTTGGCTCTTCCTACAAGATTTCTATGACCGAATTTTTCGTGCAGAAATTTTCTGCCATGTTATGTCCAGGTTACTACCTGCGTAGGACTCGGGCGAGAACGAATTTCGAACTTACTACTCTCCCGCACAGGATTTTTGTAACGTGTACACGACTCACCACCAGCCACAACACAGGGCTAGTTTTGTACTTGAAAAATCCTTCTACAAAGTTCTCTATGGTCGAGAATTTTTCGTTGAAAGATCAATGAAATATAACTACAGATAATTCAGAACGATATCAGGTTTAGTGAAAATTACAATGGATGTCTTTCATTTAACTTGAAATTTTGGAGATTTTCGTGAACTTTTGCAGGACGGAGATGTATCATCATGAAGGCTGGTAAGCAAGAACCTTTTCTTCTTTTACTTAACAATCTTTTTGGTTATCCATATGAAGAACTTTACGTTCTTGTATATAGTATTTTTACCGCAATGAAGGTAATAGAATAGATATAAGCTTACTTTGTTAGCAGCAAAACAGAAAATTAGCTGGACATAAGATTTACGTCGCTCCTGAGCTTGATTACTTAACTATTGAATCATTCATTTTTTTGTCAGACCATATAAGCAACGAACTGAACCAAACTGATGTTAGCTAAACTGATAATTCATTATTTCATTAATATATTTATTCACATTTACGACTTCTAAAACGAAAAGCATAAAAATTAAGCATTGGAGCGACGAGAGGACTCATTGCTTTAGTCAAATCCAAATTGTCAGTCATGTATTAAGATGCAATCAAGTTTTGAATTAAAGTTGATTTTAATGTTTTGGTTTTCAAATCATCCAATCAGAATGCATCATTGATGATAAACCACTAGTTGGATTTGACTAACATATGATACTTGAAACTATTGCACATAAATTGAAAAATAGCGCCAAATCACTGCAAAGGTTTTATATGTTAAACAAATATTAGGCGAAGCTGGGAAACTTTCACGACACGTCATATTTTTTCATTCTTAGGCTTTAAAAAATTATCTGATATATCGAACAATATTTCATGGCACTGAAACCATATTTTTCATGTTCTTTATAGATAAAAGGTCTTGGAAATTTTTATTCTGTGAGATGTGCAGCAATGGATACAAAACGCAGGAATGATTATGAAAAATATAATTTATATGGTTTTAAGTGGTTTTAGCAAAGCCTCCCTCGTTGACGATTCTCTGCCAAGAATGGCCAACTAGGGAGACTCTGCTAGCAGGGAAAAGTGCGCCGTAAATTTTTTTTCAAAAACAGACGTTCGGAGCCGTAACTCTTTATCACTGTTAAAGCCCTATCTGCGATCTAGACTTCGGGTTATAATTGGAATCGCCATCAAATGCAATCTTAAATAAAACAGAATTTGATGCTTAAAGCGGCCCATTCTCGCCAACAACTAACCACTGAATAATCAAAAAGCCACACAAATTAAGTGCATAATAGCTTTATAAAATATTTTTCGTCTTCCATTGGTCATTATGCATTTACTAACAAGCAAAACATTTCTTAAGTATATAATAAGTATTAATTAGAGGTTTCTAGGAAACCGTGCCCCATAATTTCTATTTTTTTAAACTAAAATGACTCACTACAAGAGAATATGAAGTTATAGTATATGTTTGGGGCTAGGTTATTTCTCAAAGGGTTTGTTATCTGGGGTGCTTACCATTTAAACCAATCCATCTGGTTGGAAATTCATTCCCTAATTGTAAAAAGAGAGCGGGAAACTTTGACTTCCAACAAATGGTACACGCGTCTACCGGAAAACCGAAAAGAGCGGGAAAAGCAGATTACCTCAATCGAAGAACATACATACATACATACATACATAC